AGTATATTTCTTCCATCTATACATTCACATTTATGAAAATATCGAAGCACATAATATATTATCTATAATTACCAGCATCACAAATTTTTTCACTGACACCTTGCTGTACATGAGTGTGGTCTGGACATGCACAATAAACACCCGCGGGTACCAATAGACAAAGATGAGAACATCCGGCCGATTGACACATATTTGGCCTCGTATAATTGTATCTTTGCCGATGGTAAACTATGGAAATTATAATTTTAGATTAACTGATTTGAAGAAAAAAATCACAATTTCTGAGAGTAACTAACCTTTGACACCAGTCGGATTCACCAAGTCCTTAGCAATGGTGACTGGAACGCCACGACCAAACTTATCTTGCTTAATTAATTCACCTGTTTCTCTAGACAACCAGTAAAGTTGATTTTCGAATAGATCCAACGATATAGGATGATGTAGATGCTCTGTAAACAAAACGAAAATTAATACAATAAATAACTAAAAAATTACTAAACAATTTATGACAATATCGACAGTCGACATTCACCTCCACGTATCACGACAACTCTGTTAGTTTGATCGTATTTAATTGACTCGATGACATTGAGCTTGGTATCCACCCAATACAAAGAATGGTCCATAGCTGTGTCTACGGTCAGTCCTGTGGGGTAGTGCAGTCTTGTCGTCACCAACGGCATTTTTCTGGATCCGTCCATCCAAGACATTTCGATTTTAGGAGTTTCTCCAACATCCGCCCAGAACATTTTACCCATTTCAGGATCCAAAACCAGAGAGGAAGGCGTGTCCAATCCTAAAAAACAATAAGATATATAGTTACATAATTCAACTATATTTTGTCCTCATAACTTTATTGATCTATCTTAATATATAAACATACCACTGCTAACAATCGATCTTCTATACCTTCCATCTTGTTTAGCGACCATTATTCGCCCAGCTGGTTTATCCTCTTTCGATAAGTCAACTTCGGCCCAATAAAGATTGTCACCCATCCAGTCTATGGCAACCGCCACAGGCTTATACGGTCCTTTGATTTCTAGATCTTGCGGGTACCCCACTTTGACTTGTCCACTCTTAGCGTCCACCATGTACGAACGTTTTATCGACTGGTCATACGAATCGGCCCAATAAATTATTTCGGATTTT